ACCCAAAATGAATAAAAGATCCTGCATTTCCCTGCCCACAATAAAACCCCTTTTGGCTGTTTGTGCTCCTAAGCTGATTGGATGACGTCATCACCAGAACGCTGACATGTATAATGTACATGTACATGCACATTGCGCACAGCACATGCAGTATCGCACGCTTGCAATAGACCACGTTGTGTTTGATGTTGCTCGGCCCACAGGCAAACACTGTCTCAGGTCAAGGTAGAAATTAAAAGACACAGTCCTACCGTGTATTTCTTGAATGATATGTCCTAAAAAGTCAAAGCGCAGGGAAAACATTGAAGCATTTAGGCCTTGGCCTACTTATATGCCTTCAGACCAGTCTCAGGAGGTTTGTGCAGGGGGTTTCAAGCAATGTCCACCTTCATGTAGGCCTATCCAGAACTCTTCATCAGTTTTTTGCAGTTTGGTTTCAGCAAGAAAGTTTACGAAGCTCCCAGATGTCATGAAGAGTTTTAGTGGCATCCTTCCATATTTATAAGTCCATGTAAAAGAATAAGTTGGTTAACATCCCTGCCCGCCTGCCCATTTTTTTTTTAGACACCTGTGAAACTGAGGTGAAAAGAACATGACATGTCAGAGTAGCCATCATACACAAAAAATCTTTGTGATATGAGCAGGTCGCACCGCTTATTATTTTAATACGAATGTTGTCATGAAAATGCTGTCCAAAAACAAGGGAGCGCAAAGTAAGTTTACCAAAGCTGGCTATTAAGAAACCTCACCAATTATTTCACGTAGGCCTAACATTTGTTGTACACATACAGTACATGTATTTCGCCTTCATGTTGACTGTTCCTTTAGAAACAACCTCGTCGCCTTGGTTCCTTCAGTACTGTGCCTTACAGTTCTCAGGATCAACCCATGGGACGTAGCAGGACAGAGCGTGGCCGTGTCCGACACAAGGGCTATGTCAGTATGTGCTAAAGCTAGGACTACTTTTCACAGTGTGTCAATCGGAAGCAGCCATAGCTCTAGTACGCAGCCCTTCTTTCTACTTGGCCGAGTGCACCATGCATTGCGCATGCGCTTTGTCACGGTACGCGTGGACATGGCGGACGATCGCGATCGTTAAATTTTTCCAGCATTTTTCATGTCTCGATGTATGAATTAAACTTAATTTTGAAAAAGGCATGTGATTCACTTTATTGTATTATTATTTTCATCAATAAAATGCGTCATTTCAAACTGAATCTCTCAAATGAGAAAGGAATAGGGAAAAGAAACCTCCCGTCTGCCCCTGAAAAATGAAAGGCCATGGATGCTAAACAATTGATTTTTTTTATAAGGCCTACTGGAGGAATTAGCCTACGAATACAAAACATCAAATCGTGAAAAATACATGAATTTTTGTCTCGAATAGCTAACAAAACACCCCCCCTCCAAAAAAAGAAAATCACACTGATACAACATTCACTCCGCAGACCAAATTGCTTGTCAAAGTTCAGTGCTGCTACCTCTAGGGGCTAGAACTTTGGAGACTGTATACCATAGGCCCTAGTATTACTAGGGCCTATGGTCAGGCTAGAGAAAATGTGACTTTCTTAATGATAAACTAGCCATAGAAACTTTGAATCCACTAATGTGTCATGTGTTACAAGTTACAATACAACACAGTTTCCCCTCATAATTTCCCTCAAAACTCAAAATCCTGCCCTTTTTAACAACATTAACGCTACAGTTACTGAGCATGATTTCACAGTCATCTCCCAAGGTGAATTCAAAAGCTGACACACCTAGCTCTCCATCTATTATTCTAAGGACAAGGTCCCAAAATTTACAATCCGTAGAACTTAAACTTTGCGGTTCGACTTCCCACGGTTGTCCGCCGCGCGGTCGCAGACGATGAACCAATACTGCATGCCTGTGGCCTGTCCTTGCCTAGCTGTGCAGGGGTGGGTACGGCAGGCCTTGCTCTTTAAGTTTTAGCCCGTAATTGAATCTAGAATCTTACCATGTTGACATCCAACGCGGGGCCAGTTACATCTGATATACCAACCCCAACTTTGTAAGCGGGTGTTGCTGCACAAACCCCTGCAAAAAGCAGGATGAGAATTGAACAAGTTGTCGGGTTTAAGAACATTTTGACTTAAAGTCAATCGACAACTTTTGATGAGCGTTCAATCGTGTCAGTTGAGTCAAAGATGGACTTCTTCGATGTCAACCTTCGAGTTAAACATGTCAAACACAACGCGACGGCGCGGCGCCGTATACCTTATATATCGCCATCAACGGCAGAACTGCGATGCTCTGAACGGCTAGCTGGACGTCTTCGCCTATAAAGCATGATCTGACGACAATGGGATCTGACTACATTATGCAGGTCGACGTCGCAAAATTGAAAAAAATGGCGGCAACTCTGCAAGCGCCGAAGGCGAACACGATCACTTTGAAGGGATCTAGTGAAAAAGTTTCGGAGTTTTTCTGTAAGCTTTTCACTCTAATCAACAGAATACAATTTTATATTCACATTTTATCAATTTTGATAATTTCTATGTAGTTTATTGCTCTGGATTCAAGACCATACCACATCGTATGATCATAACCTGATCCTAGGCCGTGTGATGACGTTAAGCTCTGGCCCTATGCCTGTCCCATGTCAGTATGTTTAGGTGTGGACTTAGCCCAGATTGGACGTTGTCTTACGTCAGGGAGTCCACCTGGGCTAGGTGTGGACTCTGAGCACAATCAAGCGTTCGTCGTGCCCACCGCTCTCTGAATTCGAAGCACGCGATGAACTAGGCCTAAGACTTCAAAAGACAGTCTCCCTGTTAATCTCCCTAGTGGAAGATTCAGGAAGAATTTCTACAACTTACAAGTCTGCAAGTAGGCCTTCAGACCTTGACTTGATCATGCTGATGACCACCACGACATGATTTCTGTTACTTGGCCCACCCCCCCCCACTTAAGTTTAGTGTCATTAGGAATAGGGCATACTACTTGCTTTTCCAATGGAGAAAGCAGTCCTAACTTATTCAAATCAAACAGTAGGAGCGCATGCACCAATCTTCTAATGAAACATGACCAGACCTCACACTTATTTATTATCATGCCAAGGTAACCTTTTGCTCTCTTTGACCATGTTGACATGTTTGAAGATCTGTTCTTTGGTTTGTGATTATTACTAATTTGAGGGAATGGTAAGAGTTCTATACATGGACAACACTAATTTTCCCTTAAAATGTTCTAACAGCCATCAGAAAGTGATAACATTTCCTAAAAAGTGAAATTTAGCTAAGAAAATTCTGAAGCATTTACTCAGAAATCCGTTCATGGAACTCTTTCTGGGGGAATTCATGTATTTGCTTCAGATCTTATTGACAATAAGTGTTTTCTTTGTGGGTGTGTGCATGACCTGTCTCAGCATTCGGCATCAACAGTTTGCTTTACCAGCGAGGTATCTACCCTCCTGAAACGTTCACCAGAAAACAGAAGTATGGCCTGACGCTGTTTATGTCAACAGACAAGGCACTGCAAGATTATCTGGAAAATGTGCTCAGACAGCTCAACAGTAAGTTCTTTAGGAAGAGACTAACGTCTGTGACTGTATAATCACCAGGTTCCTAATTTTGCCACCTATCGACAAGTCTTATTTTTTTCAGTTTTCACAGTAAGTGGTGAAATAAGGGATCTGGCGACTACACCGGCATGAATGTTTAATTATCCCTACTCTGTAGTCATTCAGTGGCCAGGAATCTTTGCAGGAAAGAGTTCCATGGAATGCTGGTCGATTCGTACGCCTGCCAACTCGTACGCACCAACTCGTACACTGACAAACTCATGCATGTACGCCGACCAACTTGTACACCGACCAAGTCGTATGCCAAATTGTACCATGACTACGACACGTACAAGGATGTGTGCAGTTGTGTTGCCATTTCCCTTTATAATATGTTGGATTTCCCCCACCCCAACTTGATACCAACCTAGTTTGGTAGAAAACACTGTGTGATATTGTGTCTATCCATGCTTTTAATGATTAATCTGTAACTTATCAATGACAAGCCACCATAGCAAAATAAGTGGCTCTGCCTTGTATTTTACATTTCTTGACTACATTGTGTATGTAGTGTGACAGAGCAGTTTTTAATGCATCTGGCAATGTAGTTGAAAAAGATCATCTTCCAGTCAATGGACCAATCGACTTGAGAATTCAGACTAAAAATCGACAGCGCGTCACGTTGTCACCGCATGAGTTGGTCGATGTAAGAGTTAGTCGGTGTACGAGTTGGCCGGCTGTGAGTTGAACGAGTTGGTCGGTGTACAAGTTGGCCAGCTATGAGTTGACCAAACCGTGTATGAGTTGGTCGGTGTACGAGTTGGCCAGCTATGAGTTGACCAAACAGTGTACAATTTGGTTGGTGTACGAGTTGACACACGTACATGTATTACTTGACGTGTTCCCATTCCATACACAATGTACTGAGACATCACTAATTTCCCTGCAGTAAGCCATCAGAAAGTGGTAACATGTCCCAAAATGTCACATTTACTGGAGAAAATATTGAATCATTTACTGAGAAAATACAAGTTTTTCAGACCATTCTCATGGGTATGGAACTCTATCTCCCTGAATTGCCCTCCACTGCCAAAGAAACCAATGTCACATTCTTTGCTCTTAAACTTGCGGGGAGCATCAATCGTTTCAAGTTCCCCAAACCCTGTGAGGTTTTTGAAGGACCTGGAAGTTAACTTAAGTCGGTAAGGGGACAGTGGTCTGGATCACATTTCAGCAATCAAGCAAATGGGTTTGAACTTAGGCCAAACAAAAAATCAATATTACTTATCAGGACTGTGATTGAGTAGTAAAGCAGCCGGTTGTTGAAATACAAACCCACAAGAGCCGGCCATCTCATGCAAAATAAAAATTAGAACAATACAATGCACAGGACGATGTATACAAAATTAGGCTCGGGGAAAGGCACCGTAAGTTTTATATTTTGTTGATTTGTCGAATAAACAGATATAGGTTCCACATAATTTTCTAGGCTGGGTCAGGTAACCAGAAACAGCTATTTTTTGTTTGGCCTCAATTTACATGTATATACATATATGTCAGTGTATGTGTAATCTCATGGGAGGGTTGGAAATGAGTGACCAGTATTACTTGCTACTTTCTTTTTGTCACTTTTTGCTCTCATTGGAGACAAACTGACATACATGTATTTGGTGTGTTACAATTTCATGAATCGTGTAATTATTAAATCGCTGATAATGTACATTTGCATATAGATTGGTAGCTGTATTTTGTAAAGATTTCCAAAACTAATTATGTCATCTTTTTTTCCCAAGAGTGGTTGAATGAGAAGACAGTTCAGAAGGTGGTAGTTGTAATCACAGAAGTAGAATCAGGGGAAGTCCAGGAGAGATGGCAGTTTGACATCCAGTGTGACAAATCAATGACACATGAGAGGTACGTTTGATATCCAGTGTGACGAATCAATGACACATGATAGATAAGTTTGACATCCAGTGTGACAAATCAATGACACATGATAGATAAGTTTGACATCCGGTGTGACAAATCAATGACACATGATAGATAAGTTTAACATCCAGTGTGACAAATCAATGACACATGATAGATAAGTTTAACATCCAGTGTGACAAATCGATGACACATGATAGATAAGTTTAACATCCAGTGTGACAAATCAATGACACATGATAGATAAGTTTAACATCCAGTGTGACAAATCGATGACACATGATAGGTAAGTTTGACATCCAGTGTGACAAATCGATGACACATGATAGGTAAGTTTGACATCCAGTGTGACAAATCGATGACACATGATAGGTAAGTTTAACATCCAGTGTGACAAATCGATGACACATGATAGGTAAGTTTGATATCCAGTGTGACAAATCGATGACACAAGATAGATACATGTAAGTTTGACGTCCAGTGTGTCAAATCGATGACACGTGATAGGTAAGTTTGATATCCAGTGGGACAAATTAATGACACAAGATAGGTAAGTTTGACGTCCAGTGTGACAAATTCCGGTAGACTTGTTAAAACAAAAGCCTAAGGTCAAGGCTTAGTACTTAAACATAAAACATTTAACACTTAAACATTAAACATAATTCACCTCTTCAGTCCTCACTTCTTGAGGTTGAAAGGGACAATTATTCTACTCCAATGTTGCCCCTTTATATTTCAATTAGTTTTTTCACTTTTCATTTTTTTTTTTTGATTTATGAGTATTAGCGAGGTCAATAACAGCGCGACCAAATTTCCGCTTTCATGTGGGATTGCCTTTTGGCCAGTTAGTGTAATGGAGTTTTTAAGCCAAAATCATAGACAACAAATAACCGGCAAGCAACCTCATTGACATGCTCAATCATTTAGCCTTAACCCTAACCCTCCTGAATCCTTCACCTGTTGGAGGATTGAGGAGGGTTAGGGTTAAAAGAGGAACACATTTCCAATAAATATGGCACGTAGATTTCACACTTCTACTTCACCAAACTGGGTTCATACAATCAGTAACATTTGTTTTGAAATTGACCCACTGTTTACTTTCTATTCATGCAGTCAACCAAGAGAAAAGTCCAATGCGGAAATCAACAAGGAGATCAAGGCTGTCATCACCCAAATCACAGCCACCGTCACCTTTCTGCCACTCTTAGCCAATCCATGTGAGTAGCTACGATGGAACAAAGTTGGGCTGTCATTAATCTTGGATCCAAGACCTTAGCATTACTTTTAGTCGAAGTGGATTAATGCAGTCTACAGAGGGCGCTATGTTTACTTTTGATTCTTTTCTCCCTGTGGAAGTGGGTTATCTGGTTTGCAATTGCAGAATAAACTGCAGGGAGGTCTTGAAACCAAGACCAAGCTATGATGAGTAACCCATACCTCAACTGAACATGGCAGGCACCAATCTCTGGTCACGTGTACTTTTTAGCCTACATTAATCCCCAAGGTAGCCTATAATACCAAACTTCTTTTTTTCTCAAAATGGTGTAAAAAGTCATGGAAATCATCATATTTTAGTCCTGGGAAAAGTCATGGAATTGGGTTTTCCGATTCATGTGGAACCCTGTGTGTTTTTACATCCAAACTGGTACACTTGGCGGTTCGGATTTTAAAGAGGTCCTGCAGAGAATTTTTTTAATAAACTTTACAGTCTTCTTCATTATGGAAACTATTCGAGAATATTGAAAAAGGCACTTTCCTAAATTGATTGATATTGTACAATTTTTTTCTGGACAACTGAGGGCACTATCGTGATGTGAATCCCAGCAGACATTGTTCAGTTTGTCTGTTCAAATTGGGCACTGGAAACATTTGTGAAAAAGGTTTGCTCATTGGCTTATTGCCAACTACTAGCACGAAAGCAAATCAACTAACGAAATGAAAGTAAGGACAGCAAAGTGTAAACATTTCTGCAGTTTTCTGTGGCACAAATCAGTGAAAGATTGAGGTTTTCTCCCTGGGATGGCATTGGCATAGCAGTTTTACGTTTGAATAAGGAAGTTTGCATTACCAAACAAACTTAAAAGGCTTTGAAATATGTGTACCCTTTTAAAAAGGCAACAAAAAAATTGAAAATGAAGTAGCAAGAAAGTTTGCCACCAAGAGGTTGCCATCAAAAGGCCATTTTCCACAGAGTATTACAAGAAATGGTCAGCAGAATTCTCTTTGGAATTATTCCCAGTGTTTGTCGTGAAAAATGTGTAAGTGTATTTCATGTAGCAGTTTCAATTAATCATCTCTTTCCTCTATTTGGCCCAACGAGCAGGGATAATGTATGTGATAATGGAAGGTGATTTGGTCTTAGTTAAAAGCGCTATAAAAACCTGTTATTATTACTGCATGGAATGCTCCAAACCGATCTATCAAAAATTTCTACTGGCATACACTGAAATGCAAATTGAGGCAAGACGTTTATGCTGCTGTCGACCATAATCTTGAGAAATGGCATCTCTCTGGCTACAGATTATGGGACTGTATTGTGAATCACCCCCTATTGAAACACACAGGTGTGTTTTTAAGGGCATTGGTAAAATGATTGCATTGCATTGGTGAGAAGATGGCTCTTGTTTCAACTGAAGGAGACTCCTCCACTTGTAACAAAAATCAAATAATTTGTTAGTTTGCAGCCATATGTTCCCTCATTAGGTCACCTCATTGGTTTCTGCAACCTCACTGTAGCTTAGTGCAATGGACTGTCCCCCATTTGTATTAATCTTAATTTGTACAATGATAAAACATATCATGCATATTGATATTATGACTGAAGGGGTGGAACTAGACACTCTATTTAATGTCAGTATGAGTGCATTTGCACACACTGTGTGGACAGATTTCAGGAGCTTGTGAGTTGCATCTGAAATGTTTTGGTACAAGACCTCTTCTCATGTACTCCACACAAACCTTGACCCTCAACCCTTGACCTGATTTCAGGCACATTCAACATCCTGATCTACACCGACAAGGACATGGCCATGCCGGAGCAGTGGGAGGAGTCGGGTCCATCACTGATCACAAACTCACAAGAAGTCAAGCTGCGCAGCTTTGCCACGTCAATACATAAGATAGATGCAGCTGTGTCTTACAAGGATGACGGAATGTGAGACAAAGACGACTGTGGCTCACTCTTCCAAACAAAGCAAAGTTCTGAAAAGCGTCTTTGGTGACAAGCAGTAGAGGGAATTCTTTGGCACTCAACCTGTAGCATCGCATCCACTGTGAATGTATGTGTCTTTAGAAATCCCAGTGCTTTTGCAATATGATGTAACAATTAAAGCATAGTGATGTCATGAAAATTTTATTTCAAGCCAAGTCAATCATAAAAGCCATGTCAAATCCACAACTCTCCATAACTGCCCAAATGTGACCGGCTCCACAAAAATGGGTATTGTGGAACTTTTTTTTCAAAATGAGTTACATGCACATTTGAATTGGTTACATTATAAGCTTTAACTTGGTGCAATCTGGAGATATATTGATTTTTGCATAATCATATCATACACGTTAACAGAATTGCTTTCAGAGATAAAGCCCTTTTAACGCAGGAGGTGGAAAAAGAAATCAGCCAAGAAGAAAGTCTCTTGATGCCCATAGCAACAGTTAGGTTTCTGGTATGAATCGGGAAAGTAATAGAAGCCAGTAAACTGAGAAGTAAAAATCACCCTGTCCACATAGAAAAGTCCTTAGTGTGAAATAGCACAGCGTCCCTTAATACCCTTTTTTGCCGAGCAGGTCACAAATTGCCCACATAAAACTAATTTTCACTCAAGCACTTTGAATTACAGATGGCTAAATAGTATAACACTGCTTGGTAAGTTTATAACAGCACTAAATGCAAAAAGTACAGTTTTTTGGCTTTAGCCTGGTTTGGGAGTGGTGGGTCACAATTGATAAATCAAAATCAAGAGACCTTTGTACAAACAACCCCTTAATTTAACCTGTTTATTAAAAAAATTGAAGCACAAATGTCTACAAAAAGTTAAGCAATTTTGTATGAAAAAGCGAAAACACTGCATACATGTACATGTATATACCAGTTATATCCAGGGTGCTCGGCATAGGCATGCCATCACCTTGGCCGATGTTGTAATCTACCTGTACTGTGAAAAATGGAAGTGAGGTTTATGAATTAAGTGAATTAACGTTCACACAATGTTTCTCCCTCTGAAAAACATTTTCAGAGGCATTTTGGGGTCATGTGGCAAAATGACAAGAAAGAGTCCAAGGAGTGTTCATGAAAAATCCAGCTTAAAGGAGTAGTCACAGTGGTAGAAAAATGAGCCTTTTGCTCCCAAGAAGACAGAAATGTCCACACTAGGTATATGAAACAAAGCATCAAGTGTGGACCTCCAAGTGTCCTCCTTTTGCTCAAATTCAACACATTTTTCAAGAGCTCTTGTAGGATTTGGACACATTTTTCACAAGTGGACCTGCCCAAACCATGGACCCTACTGTCCTGTCCTGTATTTTGTGTATGGTTTGGATACGTACACACTCACCCAAGTGTGTATTTGCCTGCAACCGGGGACGCCCTATTGTTCCTCTTTTGTTTGTACTTTTAACTTTTTTAGAAGACCTCCCATATGTTTTGTACACGGTTGTCAATCGGGGACCCTCTGTCAATCGGGGACCTTATTGTCCTCTATTGTTTAGGGTCCCCGATTGAATGCAGAAACAAACTCACTCACATACACACCCATACCTGTTTTACATACAAAGTGTTCATATTCCTTGTTCTTCTATGGTTAAGGAAACTTGAGGAAAATGCTCCTTTTTCTCCAACTAGGATAACTCCTTCGAGCTGGATTTTTGATGATGATTTCCTGGACTGTTCCTTATTGATTTTGCCATGGATAACCTTGAACCCAACGCGCCTCTGAAACTGTTTTTCAGAGAGGGGAAAGCACTGTGTGAACGTATGCAAGTCCACATAATGCCATCAAGGTTCCTGCGGCCTGGAAAAGTCATGGAATTTTGTAAAAATGACTTAAGTCGTGGAAAAGTCAAGGAATTTTTCAAACATTGTATGTGATTTCCGTTATCAGAAATAAGTGCATAAAATGCATAATTTTATTTGCAACTTTAAAAAGTCCGAGTAATCCAAGAATTAGTCTTATTGGGTCATGGATGTTCATAATTTGGTCATGGAAAAGTCATTGAATTTAATTGTCCTTTAAGCGCAGGAACACGTGCTATCATACCTTACATTATGTGGACTTAATTCTTTTGTGCAGAGGTCCACACTATGTACGGCACGCCTGCACAATGGTATCTGCATTGCCTACAAGGTCACACTATGGAAGATTCTTCACAGGTCCAACTGTTAGAATAATAATTATTTGCTGTGGCACTTGCATAGCCAGATGTTCTTCTCTCTGAAATAAGGGTTTCTCCTTTAAGGTTTTATTTTCACAATTTTCAATTCCACCTGGCCCTATTTTTGGCTGCCCATGACCTCCTCCAATCCCTCAAAAACCTTTTTCAGGATTCAGAAGCTTTTCTTTGTGTGCAAAGTGGTAAATTTGGGGAAATGTAGGGAAGTTTCTGGGATTTTATTCAAATTAGACTTGACGCCGGAGAGTTTAAATGGTGTCATGTACATGTACGCTACAGCGGCATGTTGCAGGAATGCACTGCCCAGGAGCAGGAAGTCACCTTACACTCCACGGAAGGTTGACACAGCTTAAAAAAGCATAAGGCTTGCATGTAAATACTGGCTACTGCAATGAGTTTAGAGCCAGGGTCCCAGCTTCGTGAATTAGCATCCATAGGAAGTGATCTTTAACCTCAACTTCCCGAGGATTCTTAGTAAGAACCTTGAGCATACAGTGTACTGTCTGAATCATCGAACACCCTTCAGCTCTTTTCAGAACCACACAGACCAAACTCATGCAGGAGATATTTGGTGCAACCGCAAATAGTGCTTCCATATATGTAAATATGTTTCGTGCAGCCCCCATGATAAACTCTCTGTCTCTTCCTGAATCCTTCCAAATGATTTGTGTAGAAAACTTTTGGCATGTTCTTTGGAATTCCAGCAAGCATTAAAGCCTATGTAATCCATAATGTTGATTAGCCTTCCTGCATCCTGTAAATTCCTCAAAACCTGTTGGATTGTAAACAGCCCCATTGCCAAGTTCAGGTGTCGGGGGGGGAGTACCAGCTAAAGGGGCACATCACAAGAAAAATAGATCAGTTTGATGCTTACAGTTTGGGCAGGTGGAGTTGCCTAGATGCTTGTCAGAGTGGACCGACTCCCTCACAACTCACCCCCTTCCACCGTGACAGGCCAGATTTTTAAAAATCTTGGAAGGATAGGCTTTAGTTGGAAGACTTCATAATAGGCACAGCAGAACTGCACCTCAACTGTATGCTCAAAACAAACAAAAATTACGCCATGTTGCTGACTACCCAACGCAACCTAAAAAATGAAATGAGCTTTTGATTTTTTTTTCCAATTTAAAACAAAAATGTATCACCTTTGTGTACGTCAACTTTCTTTTATCTAATAATGCTGGTTAGCTTTCAATTGACTTGCTCTTATGTGTTTGTACAATAATCTGCTTTCCAAACTGGCAACCCTCACAACAAGAAAACATAACAAATGCCAAAAATTTAAGTAAAGGGCGATACATGAAATGTATTCATTTGTGAGGGGATTAGTAGGCATTGATAATTGTGCTGTTTGTATATGTATTAATTTAGTATTAATGGTTCATTTTTAGCTTCTTTACTTGCTTAACAGCAAAAACTGCCATTCAGAAGTGGCCGTCTGATCTCCCTTCTGTGCATCAACAAATGATATCCGGAAACATTGTAGAACACGTCAGTCAAATTTTGTATGCTTTTTGTTTTAAACTTGACAGGGTAAAATCTAGCAGCAGGTTTTCCCAATAAAAAAGCATTACTGAACTTGTAATTAACAAATGCTTACAAAAATAATTTCGTGAAACAAGCTAAGTTGCTGTAACTCAAGCAACAAGTGAAGAGAAATTGAACCTCTCCATCAAAGACTGATTTTGTGCCTGTTATTATTTTTAGTGATGCGAGAGATGGTGATCATTACGGGAGATCTTTTCAATGGAACATTTATTAAAATAAGGCATTTTGTTTAGTATGTAAATAATATACTTTATAAAGTTATTCACCTGTATTAAAGTTGACAGCAAATTAACAAGTTTTTCCAACCAATTTCAGAAAAGAGGCATTCACTTCCATCAGCATCAATTGTGCTCATACTTGGATTTTTTTTCCCATTGGCTTCAGTTTCCCACAAACAAGTGCATTTCAGTGATACATGTACTTTCATTTGAGGCGTTCATATAGTCTCCATTTCCACCAGTACTGTCATTTACAAACTGATGCGATAAAATTAAGATTCATCAAAACCCACAGGATTTTAATCTGTGTGGTGTTCATATAGTCTCCAGGTTACACTACTGCTTTTAAGGTGTTGCACCTTTCACTACAAATGCTCCTTAAACCTAGAGGGTTTAAATGACATACATGTACCTAAGTAATCCACATTTATGATCACATGATATTGTGTAATTCAATCAATTCAATTAAAACGCAGTTTCTCTTCCTTTTTTTATTTACTCGTCTTTTCTGTTTTTCTAACCTGAAAAACTCCACTTTGATATACATGTACATGTATGTACATACAGTATTTAAATGCCAGTCAGAAGCATTTGCCAAATAGAACCAATGGCGTTAATAGTTTTCACATGTAAACAAGATTTGTTGTGGTTTCCTTGTGTATTTATTCATACATTTGAGTCGTGTTTTTCTTTCCAAAAAATCCACCTTGGTAAATAGAAAATATGTGTATAACTCAGAGAGCCTACCAAAAGAGACGAAATGGAGCATGTCAGTGGAAGCTGCTGCTTGAATCAATTGATTTCTTAACCTCTTGCCAAGGATCCTGATGAATTTGAATCAACTTACGTGTATTTAATTAATGCCTGCTTGAAAAAATAAATTAATTACACTTCCGTTAAAATTTGAATATGGGGGCATGTGGCCGAGTGGTTAGGGTCTGAGGTTCGTAAAACTTATCCAAAAGCCAAATGCTTGACTTGAAAAATTGACAAAGGCTGCATGAAAGTTCTGCACATTAAACTGTGTCAGCTGTGTCATTTGGTAAACAGATGTCAATAACCAAGCAAACCTCAGTCGAGAATCTACGAACATGACAGTGGCACTCATCCTATCATTCTGCGCCCGATTTCTAACTGGACTGAAGGTAGGTGTTATCGCAGACTGACATACCCCGTTCACCCCAGAGAATGCTTACTCCATTACCCCCACAACATCCAGGATGTGATGTTGCATTTGATTTCTCAGTGAGTCGAAACATCCTCACAGGTACAAAATTAAAAAACACAGGCTCTAGTCTGCTTCTGAGATAAAGGCTGCGTAACTGGAGCCCTAAAGCTTATGA